CTTAGTCATAAGATACAGCTAAAGCTCTAGAAAATAAAAAGATTCATAATGCCTATGAAGTCTACAGCCAGAACACTTCCTAAAAATAGGTTCCTTAACATGCTAAAAAAATCATGGCTTAACAAGATATTTTTTATGTTTAACAGGTCTGTCACAAACAAACTCCTGAACAGGCTCTGCCCTCACATCTGTTGAGACAAACCTGCAGTAAAAGGAATGCAATCCCTCTAGATTTATGCCAGTAGAAAGGAGAGACAAAAGGAAAAAACAACAACAACATCAACAACCCAGAATCTGACCTTTAAAACGCACTTTTTTGTGTTTATTTGGGTATTGATTTAAACAAGTTTCTTTCCCTGTGTTGCTCAACACAGTTTCTACACCTCATGACATGTGATGTTTCACTTTGGCTGTACAGAAATTACAGTCCTATTTTCCTTGACTTGTCGTTACAGAAAAGATAAAGACTGCCAAAAGCATTTCAGCACTTAGAAGAGAGCAGAACGATTCAGAACCATTCTAAAAGGTGTATCCCGAAAGAGTTTCATTCAATCTCCTATGGGCTGGCAATTGTTCCTGGATGTTGTGTAAATATCCCCAGTAAATGTCAGGGCTTGGGTTTACAATTTTGGAAGAATCGAGTAGGAGAGCTGAAAGGTTGCTCACCAACAATTCATCCAGATTTCTCAGTTTAACAGCTTGTCAATTTTTCCCATCTGATTTTTTAAATGAAATAAATCAGTTTCCTCAATCTATGTCTTAACACCCAGAAAACATGAACAGCTCTACCACAGACACCCTTTAGGATACCACAGATAATAACAAACATTTATTTCATTCAACTACCACTGCTTAATCTACCAGCAAAATCAGTACCATTAGTTTCAGCCTCCCCATTTTGCTCGGACAAGAACAAATTTTAGATTAAGTGTCCAATTATTGGCTCATAAAGTCCAAATAGTGCCATTTCCTTCTCAGCAGAGTGTGGCTTAATTGGCAAGGGCCTTTTTTCCTGAGACTTACCTAATTCTAAGCAATGTCATCTGCCCTTCTGAACAACACATCAAACTGCAGGGGAAGCGTGCTGAGCAATGCCCTGCTGAATAAATCTCTCCAGCTCATGACCATTAACACAAATCCCAATCCCCCTTCCCATCAACTGATATTGATGACAGTGACGAGGCCACTGCAACTTGCTTTGGTGGCCATTAGGAAATTCAATTTTATTTTTTTGTGTGGGTTTTATGTGTGTGTGTTTTTTTTTTTTAAATAACAATTAACATGCTCAACACTGTATCAAGCTAAATAGAGAGGTTTAAAGAAGCAGATTTGCACACAGGTTGGCAAAGAGCCAACTGATCTCACATTTAGCTATATGCAACATCATATCATACGCTCAAGAGAACAAGATGAAAATATGTGATATTGCAAATACAGATAAAGGCTTTAATGGCATGAATTTCACATGGTTGGCATAAAAAACACCCAGGAGTTACGCTGGCTACCACAAATGACTGTTTTTCAAATCCTTATGTCAAAACACCACCACATTTTAGAAGCAATTAAAAGTCTCAGATCTTCTGAAGAATTTTACTGGCAACCTTTTTCTAGTCCAGGATCTACAGAGTCAAATTCCTGTCGGGTCACAAACAGAGATCACTAACATAAATGTGCATTATAAAACCTTAAAACAAAAAAAGCCTCTTCCACAGTTATTAATTATCTAAAATGTTCAAAAAAGTAAGATGAGAAAACACTTTAGCCATTCATCCTTCTCTACAAATACTAGTAACTTAAAATATCAATTTCAGACTGGTGGGCCTTTTTTTTCCCTGCTCTTAAATGATACCAAAACTTACAAAAGAGCTTTTTTTTATTTTTTTCCCTTCACCTCCAAATCACAGTATCTCAAAGGGTCAAGCAGGAAATATTAATTCCTAGATTCATAAACACTACACATAAAGGGAAGAGACCTTCCAAAGGGACAAAGAACACCTGGGCTCCTTTTTGATCCTGGTCTTTCAATCAAAACACTCCCATGACAATTGTGGCAGGCAGTCAGTGGGGACACTAATTTGGTCAGGACACAGATACTGCTGTTTTCTTCACTATCATGACAGGTCTGAGATTGTCAACGTGACAGCTCTTTTGTGAACACAGTTGGAGACCCTGGTGAAAATCCCCGAGAGCAGACAAAGGCAGCAGTTGCTCTCACAAAGTCGACTGGGCACAGTTAATGCTGTCTCAGATCATGGGCACAAATCTGCTCGAAACAAGAATTGCACTTAACTGCAAAGCACGGGTTACACCAAACACAAGGCTTCAGGACAAGGTGACTAATGCTGTCTCTTGACCAGGCAGTATGTGCTGAAAACTTACTCTATATAACATTTCAAGCCCTACCTCTCCCTCTAGGGTCCATGTAACTGTAATCAGAGTGCTGGAGAAGTCTGGCCTTTATAGGCAAAGACAAGGAGGGGAACAAAGCATTTTTCCCAGATAGCCTCTACCTGCAAAGTACAAAAAACCTGCAAGCCACAAAGGCCCTGGTGATGTGGTTTAGTAGAAATGCTGCATTAGCATTCGTTGGGATGATGGACAGAAATCATTCATGCATCTGCTATGGATTCACTCACAGAAATTCAATACCAGAGCACAGCATCCTGCTCACATGGAATACAACCACCAAAGTGTTTCTCCAGCAGCAAATGCACCAAAGCCACAGGAACAACTAGGGGACTCCAGCTGTCCAACAGCTTACACCTTCATCAAAAGCACAGGTGGCTGCTGCAAGCCAGAGCTTCTTATAAAATATAAATGCTACAATTTTCTCAGGAAATTCTTTAGGACAAAACATGTCCCCTTCCCTAAATACTTATGCAACTTTTTATTTGTAAAAAATCTAGGTTTGGGCAGTCAGGGTCATTGGTTAGCCAGACACAGGACTTGTGAATATTTGCAGTCCTCCCCTGCTTCAGTACCACGGCAATGAAGAGGAAACACAGCTTGGGTTCAGCACTGGAGCCCAAATGTAAGGCTGAAGGAAGTAGACTGAAGAAGGGAATGATGCAATGAAAGCAACAGAATACAGCTGTCCATCAAAAATGAGCTAAGTTGAAACTGGAATTCCTGAAGCTCCAATAGCAAATATCTACAAAATCCACAGGAAACATTCAGGCCGTAACTTTGTTTCCAGTGACTCCTCCATATCATAGACATAGACTATATTTAAGGAAATTATTTAAAACCATGCTTTGCAAACTCTTTAGGCAGTGCATCATTTCCTTAAGATAAAACCTGTTGTGTGAATTAACACATATGTCCTACAGGGCCAGAGTAGGACATACTACCAAAGGGGTTTTGCACTTCTTTTGCAGTTCAAGATCAGATTGTTTCATAGACTATAATTTATGATTCATATTGAACTTTATGAGCAGTTACCAATCAAATTCTTGCTGTTTCTTGGGGCCCAAACTAAGACAACACTAACTTGCAGAGTTTTTATTCAGCAGATTTTGCTGCAGTAAACAACTCCAACCAAAGCCAACATGGGAACAGAACCTCAGTAATAGAAATGCTAGAAAGAATTACCAAATTCTGTGAAGAGGTAAGTTTGGAGGCACCTGCTACTCATTGAAAAAGTCCCCCATTTTTCTGAAGTTATCTGTGCATCACTGTCCTGTCTGTGCAAAGGGTGTGATGCACTTTGTTCATCACAAGGCATACAAAGGAGATTAAAACATTCACAAACCATTTAGATACTACAGTGCAGCACCAGCTGAAGAAGTGAGCAAAGAAGTAATCATTCTGTATTCTGACAGTATTTGAACGGTGCATGAGACCACATGCTGAACAAATAACACAACAGACTGAAAAGCACTTCATTCAGGAGATTGGTCCAGTGCAGAAGCAGGAAAGGGAGGGTGAGGGAGAAGGGGAAGAATCTGATCACGTAATTATAGGCTTTCTGACAATGCACACACACAGAGAAGCCATATTAAGATTTCTCCATATACCCTTAAATTCTGGGTTTTTTCCCTTTCATGATTAACTGCTTGGTGGTTCTATCATAATTTACAGCTATTTTTAAGTATTACAGACGAGTAACACAGCATGTATCTGTGTGTCAGAAAAGAAGTGAGGAGCATATATAATGCAGTGTAAAATCTATTTATGCTTTTCTTTTTACAGCAAGCACATAGCCAGTGGATTCCATGATCACACACCATCATTAGGAAACCAACATCACCAAATCTATATTTAACTAATTGCCTTCTCATTTAGGTAATGGGTTTTAAGGGTTCTGTATGGTAGTACAGAACAAACACTTTAAAGCAGTGATTGATTTTGTCAATCCAACAAACCTTCACCACGAAACATCTGGTACTGTTTCCATTTTTACACTGAAAACCTATTATTTGACAATTTCTATATACAAGGTATGGCTTTATTTTGCTGAGTAATCTTGCTCACTCTAACGACAGCTGCTAACAAATTCACATACCACAACCAGGACATTTTCACACTGATCCTATACAATATTTTTAGCATTTATTATTTTAAAATTATTATCTGTGCATACTTCAAGCTACTTCTGCCTAAAGTAGACACTTATGAGCTTGGAGAAGGTTCAAAGAAAGATAAGAAACTTGCAAAAATTATTCTATTATTTAAACTGGGGAGGTGAGGGAGGGGAGGGCAGGTGGGGGGAAACATGACGTACTCAGATTTTATGACTGCTGGTTTTCTCCATCAGGAAACAATCCAGGTTTCCTTTCATAGGTTTGTGATTATAAATAACCATCATCTCCTTGACTTTAATTAAGAATATATAAAGATTAACATTTTTGTCTCTGGAGAATTATCCCCAAGTGATGTCTAGCAGCAAATACAAACCAAAGGCCTCATTTAATCCACCTACTCCAGGTTCAATTTCGCCCACAACACGTAACTAGAACTGCAAGTGGATTTAAAGAGACCACGAGAAAGAAGGAACTCACCATTCTAACTACTTCAGGGTAAGTCTGCTCTGTCAAACAGCCTCTGCTTATTGTAATGTAGTCCACCAGTTCATTAAGAGTGGAGCGCTTGTATTCTTTCATTTTAAGGTCTGAAAGCGTGTCCATGAAGTCAAAAATGACACAGCACTGTTGAAGTTTCTTTAGGAACAGTTCAGGCTGCTCTGAAGATGGAACGTCTATGAAACAAGAAAGGAAATCTTTGTGAGTCTGGCATCTTATTATACAAAACAGGCTTTCTTTTTGAAGATCAATTTCAAAGGAAAGCAGCATTCATACAATTTTTGTAAAACAGAGTTCACATTAACATACGAACCGCTTACAGGAACCGTATTTACCGCTGTGTGTTTGAGATCTTCAGCATACTGCAGAAGACATGTAGTCATCACTGGCTATTAGGAAAATAAAGTTCACCCAGAAAGTCCAGCCTTAAGTGGAGAATGCAAACACAACAGCACTGAAGATTTCATTTTACAATACACCACTACTCAGAGGCTGGCGTTCACCACTGTTAACTTACACTCCAAAGGAGGATGAAAGAACTGTCAAACACATCACGCTTGATTAATTTATATTTCTAAAAACACTGCGTCAATTATAACCCTACATGAATATACATGAATACATATATATGAATACACAGCAAGACTGTAATTCCACAAACAAGTTTTAAGATCCAATCATTACCCCCACGTTGACACTCTTCACAGCAAAATCAACTGAAACTGAAACACAATGAGGATTTTTTTTTGCTGTACTATGAACACATAACATGCATCAATAGGAACATTTTCACAAAAAATAGCATGTGCTTGACCAATAAAATAAGGAGAATACTGCTATTCACTACTTTTGCTCTGATTTCTTATTTGTTAGCAAATAAAAAGACTTAATACAATAATAAGAGGCATGTCAGCATCTTAATGGCTGGTTAGTTTACCAAATGCATCAAAAGAATACACAGACAGCTTTCTTTCTCCAATGTTCATGTACACAAGAGGCTAACAATAGCAGAAAGTTGCAGGAATGAAACACACATTTTCACTCTGCAAGTCTGCCCTCAGACTAGGGAGCACTTCACTTCCTTTGATCTGCCTTTTTTTGTTTTTAAGACACCAATGCCTGTTTTAAGACAGCAAAATCCTGCAAATGACTTTCCAAGTTACAATATATACGTGCAAATGAAAAATTGAGTTGATCTCAACTAGAAAAATTGTAATAGAAAAGAACTGATACTTGTTTCTTAAAACTTGGACATACCAGTAAAAAGTCAGTTTAAGATGGAATTTCTTAATGCTGACACAAGAATATGTCAAGGTAAGGAATACTTGGTAAACGCTGGAAGCTCTTAGTAATTGTATGGTAGTTTTAAGTAGTTTTAAGGTTTAAGTACCAGGAAACTGTTTTAATTAAACACAGTGCTTAAATTTAATTAAAAACAGTGCTTAAACACTGAAAAGAATAAACATGGATTGCAGTACAAATAAAGGTGCAATGGTTTATTCAACCTTTCTCTGTTTACAGCTCTGCAGCAGTGACAGGATTCAAAAGGCAGCAAATTGCATCCTGCAAAGAACCACCAAAATCTTGGTAAAGTTTAACTGATGTTGTTGAGCAGCAAACACCAACCTCATATTCATTAGGCCTGGTAAGTTCAGTGACATCTGTGTCCAGAGGAAACAGAGGTGTAGGGGGCAACGTGGTATAGTTACGACACCGCACTTCACATCATCAGAACTGTCCACCCCACGTTCCCAAAGGCTACAACCATCTGTGGCTCTGAAGATGCAAGAAACGTGGTCCTGCAGAACCCCAGCGAGAGCTACAGGGAAGAAGAATCCTCCCCAGACACCTCCACAACACTGAAGGTCCCCAAACCAGGTCACCCTAAAGCCATTCCACTGGCCACGTTTCTCTCACACATTCAGACACTCCGAGCAGGCAGAGCTGAAACCCAAGATGAGCCAGGGAGACAGAGAAACTCGTCAGCCTTCACCCATTACAAAAAAGAGCACTTCTTCATGACCTAAGGTTACAGCCCTACAGAAGATAAAAGGGCCTGGGGATGCAAAGTCCTTGTGACTGCTTTCTTGACTACGTGTGTTCAAATAACCCAGAGAAGGAGAATGGGCTTCAGAATTCACCAGCTATAAGCAAGCAGGCAACAGTTACTTGATTAACAGCTTCTTCCAAAAGACAGAGTCTAAATATAAGCTGAAAAGAAGAGGGGAAAAAATGAAGTTGCAGTTGGTTACATTTCAAAAGTATTATTTTTAAAAGTTACACTCTTCCTTGTACTATCTGTAACACACCACAGACCTTGAAAAGCTGTAAGAGGTACCAATAAAATCTCTGGTGTGACATGGCCATAATGGGGTTTTGGTTGCTCTGTTCTACATGACTTGTATGCATTTGCTTTGGCCAACAAGGACATTATAGTCAAAGAAAAACAGGCTGAGATCAAATGGGAATCCCTTAAGACACAATTCAGCACAAGTTAAAACCAGAATCATATATATGATTCAAAATTACACTCATTTGAAACGGAGTTGGTATTAAATAAAAATTTTAAAATTACTGGAGCATTAAAATAAGCAATAAAAGTTTGTTTTCTTTTTTTTTTTTCTTCAGTTAAGTACATGGAGGTTGTAGCAATGGATTTGTTGGAGGTGTGGGAACAAAATGAAAAACATAATTAAGTTCTGCTCAAGAAAAACCACTCTAGAACACTACAAGAAATTCATGGGAGTCTAACTACGTCAACAAGCCATATGAAACACAGGGGTAAACAAAAAACCCCAAGCCACAGCCAATGAAAAAAACCACAAACAAACAAACAACCCTCAAAGCCCCACAAAATAAAACCTCACAAACCAATTGTTCTGGTCATATTGGGTTTTCTTTATTAAGCAAGTTACCACTCACACTAGGGAATAAGACTGCAAGAAGTTTCACTCCAAATTTTTCTCATTATTCTTGGGAATTTGGGGTGCCTTGGGAACAGGCTAACACCTAATGCCTAGGGGTTTTTTGTACTTGGAAACAGGACAAGTATGGGAATAAATCAGTAAATTAAAAAATTAGGGGAGTAAAAAATTAGAAAGTCCTAAGACAAGAAAAGGGCAGCATAAATAAATATAAATAAAATCAGTATGCTGTGTTCCCAGCTTTCCCCATTAGTTGGTTTGGGGTTTTGGGGTGGGGGAAAAGGGGTTCTTTTTCTGGTACCTGGGGTACAGACCTACAGACCCTGCAACAAAGCTGAGCTCCTCAACACAACCACTCGAAATGAAACCCACAGTTCCTTACAGGCATTCTCAGTGAGCTGATGAAAAACAGCGGATCGTTTTCTTCTCAGCAGATACTCAGAGCTTTCAATGAATTCTGCAACATTTTACTCCTGTCCTAACACGCAGCAAAACATTCAGGCCCCAAAATCTCCATTGTATTTGCTTTCAGAAGAATGAACTGAAAACTGAGCAACTGCTCTAATAAATCTGTGTAAATACATATAACACTTTAATAGCCTATAAAATAAAATTAAAATTACACTATTAAATGGCATGTGTGATTTATGTCCATTGCACAAAGGAGTACAAACTTATTAAAATCAAAATTTAAAGGAAGATAAACTGTCTGGATGACTGTGAGAAGTCTCCTCATTTTCAGAAGGTCCTTGCTACAATTTAATTTTCAAGCTTGTCAGTTTTCTCTTTAGCCACTTAAAACTGTACAGAGCTTTTGAAATACAGTGAGTATTCACAGATTCAAGGGAAACTGGCTTAGTGAAAGCAAGCACTAATACATCTGAACAATGATAATCAAGACAGAATCAGAGCCTTTAACAGTGTCGAGTTTTTATAAAGTTACCAGAAAAACTGACAGAAAGTGATATAATTTTTTTTTTTAGACATGGACTAACAATTCTCACTGCAAGGGCTGAAGTACTAATTCCAAAATGGCCAAAGCAATTCCGTTGCTCTCTTAATAGCCTTTTCCCAAAATAATCCTAATCCAACCAGCCCATCCCTTCTCATAAATCTCTGTCTTCTGCATCTTTTTATCAACTAAAGACACAAAACCTGATAGCACACTTTTACTGCAAGTCTCAAACATCAATAAAAACATACCAATGTTTTTACTGCCTTCATGTTTTAATAAAGTAATTTACCAGTAACTCATTTGGGCTCATAGAAAGCAAACTATGCACCAGAGAAACTGCATCCCGAGGATGGAGCTATGGCTCTCCTCTCCCTGGTAAGGGAACAACCACGAGAAGGGGAAGCACCTGGATCGGTTCCCTGATCCACTCCAGCCTGTAGTTTTGCAGTGAAGGGTATAAGGAAGGGAAGTGAAGATGGGGGAGGGACTGAGCTGCTTAAAACAGTGCGGCAACTGTGAGGAAAAGCCACGGGATTGCAGACACAGGGCAGTGTACGGCCCAGAATCAGAATAAAACGAGACCAATGATGCAGACTGCATAGGATGCCTTAAGCAGAACTAAAGGACACTCCCACGCTGCCCTGCACCCACACATGCACTGTCAGGACGTTTATGAATAGTTAAAATCAAAGTGCCCTCTGAATAAATATTGCTTCCAGTACATACATTACTGGTATTCATTAGCTTGAAGATGGCATTTGCATAAAGAACAAGCATCATCCTCTTGTATGACAGTAAAAGTAAACAGCACATTAAACATGAGAAAATAAAAACACACACTAAAACCAAATTCCAGAAGGGGGAAGAGTGTTTAATAGTAACTTTTTTTATTTACACTAACTTTAAGCACTTCCTTATAACGTTCCAACATCTGAAAACTCTCTATTCGCTCTGCTTCTGAGACTGTTTCCTCTTTCAACTAAATGGCAAGATTTCTACTTTCCCTTTCAACTTAATGGCAAAGTATTTCCTCAATTTCTCTCCAGTTTCCTCGTCTTCCAGTTACTAAATAGACCTAGGACTATTCCAGTAACTAAATAGACCTAGGACTATTCCTTTCTAGTTAAATAAAATCTCCTTGTGACAAAAAAAGCTCCAAAACCCCAAACAAATTTCTCTCCTTTTGCTGCCACTCACAAAGCCACCTCATCCAACATAACCTGCAGCAAGGACCAACCTGCACAAAGCACGAGCTGTGCACAAATCTCTGCCTACATCCGTTCTTCACAAATCACTG